CTAACAGTGTAATGTGTAGCCCACCATACTGTGGTCCTGTCCCTTCTCTTCTCTGCCCACTAATTCCCCATGAGTATCACAGGACAGAGGGCCTGAAAGTGTTAATAAATCATCCTTGCCCTATTATTTGGCATTAAATAAGATGAGTCATGTTGAACAAAATGGGAATCTATTTTGAGCATTTATTATGTCAAATATAATATGTAATTTTCCTCCCACAAAAGAAACAAGGAAATGTTTACCTTTGCCCCACGTGCTGGAAAGAATAGGTAACTCAAGGAGAGAGCGCTGCTTATGGTTGAGAGACATAGGCTGGGTAGAATGCTCAAGTGAAAGAAGGAATTAAAAGAACAAGTGAAAACAGTAAAAATATTTATAAAGTTAATTAGTAAAAAGATCATATTGCCATTGTTTGCAGAGCTTAGGAGGCTAAAAGAAAGACTTCCACAGAAAGCTATTGTAAGACTGGGTGCTTAAGTATTTAAATTGAAAACAATGATTAAAGAAAGACTAAGATTTTTCTGTCATCTTTTATAATGACACTGAAACAAGAAACAAGCATCCTAATTTACAAGACGTAAATTTAAAAAAGAGAATCATCAAAACTTGAATAAACAGAAATTCCATCAGATTCGAGAAAAATTCATTTGCCATTTTAGTTAAGAGTTAATGCCAGCTCCCTTTAAATATACACTCTGTGGGTCACCCTCTGAAGGTTCTCTGAAAAATAAACCTGCAAAAGGCAGATTCATTGGAAAAAAGGTATACAAATTTATTTAACATGTAGACACAGAAGCTTTCAGAATGAAGACTCAAAGATACACAGAAAATTGTCGATTTTGATGCTTAGGTTCAACAAAGTATGGACAGCCATGTAGAAATATAATTGGACAAAAAGCATATGATCTAATGCTAATAGACTGGCTGAGGAAACCCAGCAAGTATTGTCTGTCTGGAATCTTCTTGGCCTCGCTGAGCGTGCATTTCTTCCCTCTGGGTGTGGGGCAGGAGCTTCTCTGGAATGAGAGTCTCTGGAAGCTGTTACCAGAACATATCAGAACCCTGGTTATTAAATATATTTAAGCCAAATTGCTATAAAATTGGTATCTTTAATATTTCAAAGTCTGCATTCAGTTATCCTCAGTCTGCTTTTTAAAAAACACCTTTTTTAATGCTCTACATTTTAAAAAAGTGTATATTATTTTATTTATTTAAAGAATATATTTACATTTATCTTCTGTTGAAAAAAATTAACATTGATTACAGAGTTATATATAAACAGAACAGAGAAAAATATTAGATTCAAATAATATTAGATTCAAATAATTATTTCAGCTACAACAGTGCTCAGTGAACATAAAATGAATAAACAACATCCTGTTAGAATATGACCTTAACAGGGCATAGGTTTCATTCAGTGTCATTGCATCTTGTATTTGATCACCAAAACAATGCAATAACTAGCAGAGAAGTTGTCTTAAACTACTTGAAAATTAGCATTTTATTGCATTTGCTTATTAATAGCATGGTCTTCCTCTCCTACAGGACAAAGCCCTATGTCTGATTTATGACTTTGTTCCTCAAGCTTGGCATATATTTAGCAAATGAGTAAATGGGCATAATAAAACTCTTCAATGGAAATGGACCAATTGATGCTATGAAGACAACAAGCATAAAAAATGTAAGGAGTCACAGATTCCAAACTCAATACAGTACTTGCCTGTTTCAAATCATGTTAATATTCATTATCACAAAAGCAGAATTCAGTCTCTCTGAATTAAAAAAAAAGAATTCCAGTATTTTAAAACATAAAAACGCAGGCAAATTTCATTCAATTTAATGAAACTTAATATTCAAAAAAATGGAAACCTTACCAAAAAGTAGCATGGACTTTAATTTACAAAGTATAGATTTCTATGATGAAGAAAAACAATACTTCAAAAATATTAATACAGACTTTCCCTTCTGGCAAAGAAGAGACCAGATTTAACTTCCTACCTGAAATAAATTGAAAAAAAAAATTTTTTTTTTCAAGAAAATGGACATGAGACAAATAAGGACAGAGATCCCTAAAAGAAGGGCGACAAAAGAGGTGAGATCTAAGATTGTCTAATTTAACTGTTTTAAGAGTTTTCCGTCTGCAGGGTAAGGAATGGAAACCCAGGAATCAAAAAGATAGAGATGGAAGTGGAGGGGAGCCAAAGCAGCCAGAGTTCACAGTGCAGAGTACCAGAAAAGGGAGGACAGCAGAGAGAGGAAACTCAGAGATCCGCAAGGCTCCTCCTCAGTTCTTTAGTTGAGTACTGCTTAGCACATACATTTTTTTAAAAATTGCCCAAGATTGGGAAAATAACTTGTAGAAAAGATAAGGAAAACAAAGAATATTACTTAAAAATTGCACAAAGCCAGGAAAGTTTCTTTTTCCACCAGGCAGAGTAGAAGACTTAACTGTTGAACTTAGGAAGAAGGGTTTTATCTTAGCAATGTGGAAAATTAGATGAAAAGGTTGTTCTGGTATTGCCTAACAAAGTTTAAAGCAGACCTGCAAGAATAAAAGCTTTATTCCAGAAATACAAGCTTGTTTTAACACTTTAAAAACTATCAGCGTAATTCACCGTATTAACAGACTAAAAAAGGAAGAACTGGATTAAGAAAATGTGGCACATATACACCATGGAATAGTATGCAGCCATAAAAAAAAGATGAGTTTCTGTCCTTTGTAGGGACATGGATGCAGCTGGAAACCATCATTCTCAGCAAACTATCGCAAGAACAGAAAACCAATTACCGCATGTTCTCACTCATAGGTGGGAATTGAACAATGAGATCACTTGGACACGGGAAGGGGAACATCACACACCGGGTCCTATTGTGGGGAGTAGGGAGGAGGGAGGGATAGCATTAAGAGATATACTTAATGTAAATGACGAGTTAATGGGTGCAGCACACCAACATGGCTCATGTATACATATGTAACAAACCTGCACGTTGTACACATGTACCCTAGAACTTAAAGTCTTAAAGTATAATTTTTTTAAAAAAAAGAAAAGTAGGGTGTCAGGGCCCACCCCAGACCTGCTGAGTTAGAACCTGTGTTTAACGAGATCCCAGGTGACTTGTGTGCACATTAAAATGTTCATAGCATTTGTCTCTATCTAGAGGGATACAGGCCAAAAGGATATTGAAATGAGACATGAAACAGGGGGCTATGTATGTGTGTGTGGTGGGGGAGTGGTGATGTAGTGAGAAGAAGATTTTTTGAGTTTTTCTTTTACATGTCTGTATTGTTTGACTTTGATTCAACAAATATATATATATAACTTTTATAATTTACAAAACAGAAAAAATTTAAAATGATGGTGAAATTACTATATAGGTGTATGTTATTAAAATGTTTAGTGAAAAGGAACATATCAAGTAAACCAGAAGTAAAATATAAACTTGTGGTCAAGGAGGAAAGTTTCTTGAAGGTAGGGTTGGTTACTCTCCACTTATCTCTCCTAGTTCCAGGCCATGCCTGCCATATTTTACAAAAAATTAACGATTGCATGTCTCAGCATTCTGTTGCCTGCCATAACTGCATCCAAGAGTGTTAATAAAACTCACCTTCTCTGAGCCAAAAAAAAGGAAGAACGAATGATCATCCCCATAGATGCAGAAAAAGCATTTGACAGAATCCAATATCCATTTCTTATAAAAACTCTAAACAAAGAATAGAAAGAAACTTAAAATGTTTTCCCTCTAGATCTGGGATAAACCCACATCCATTATTATCACTTTCATTCAGCATTGTACTAAGGTCCTAGACAATGCAACGAGGCCAAAAAATGAAATTAAAGGCATACAGACTGCAAAGGAAAATCAACTTTTTTACTCTCATATATGATGTCTATGTAGAAAATTCTATGAAATCTGTAAAAAATGCTTCTAGAAATAGTTTAACAAGTTTACAAAATACAAGATAAATATAAACATCTATAATATTTATTTATACTGAAAGCAAATAATTGGAAAATAAAATTATTAAATCATAATTTATAAATCAAAAACATAAAATTCTTAGAAATAATTCTGATGAAAGCTGTGCAAGATCTGTAGACTGAAAACTACCAAATTTTGTTGAGGGAAAATTAAAGAAGATCAAAATAAATTAAAAGATATACTGTGTCTATAAATCAAACAACTCAATTTTGTTAAGAAGGTACTTTCCTCCAAATTGAGCTACAGACTTAAAGAAAATCCAGATCACAATCTTTACAGGGTTTTTTTTTTTTTTTTTTTTTTTTTGTAGAAATTAACAAGCCAATTCTAAAATTGACACAGAAATAGAAAGGACCAGCAAATAGCCAAAACGACTTTGGAAAAGAACAAAAAGTTTTCAAGAGTTGCACTACCTTTCTTCGAAACTCATTATAAAGCTACGGTAATCATGACAATGATTTTAAGATAGACAAATAAATTAGTTAAATAGAAAAGAAATTCTAGAAATAAATTCAAATGTATCCAAATAATTGATTTTTGGCAAAATCAAAGGTCATTTAGTGAAAAAAAGATAGTGTTTTCAACAAATGATGCTGGATGGGTTTGGCCCCAGAAAAAAATAGTACATGTGTAATAAGTAATAATAAAAAATAACCAGTTGCTCCTAAGAACAGTGGCTGACAGTTAGGAAAGCTGACTGCCGACCTACTTAATAGAACCTTTCTCAGCATACTTTTTTTTATTAATTTTTTTCAGATACCACACAGTACCTGATATCGCTTTTATTAACCGTCTTGTCAGCAGTGGACTCTGCACAAAGTTAAAAGCAAACTAGAGTCCCTAAGAAAGGAAACAGCAGGCCACTTCTCAGCAGCATGCCAATCTTCAGGAACTCGAATCTCTGCTATCAACAGGTCTAACGTTGATTAGATCTTCAAACTGTATGTAGTTAGTTGCAAGGCGCATGCTTTACAGAGGCAGAGCAAGAAAGGATGATGTTGAAATTTAGAAAGGTAAGACAAATGAAATGTAAAATATTGCAGGAAGTATTACAATTAAAATTTATACAGCCATATACAGGCACAGTAAGTTTCATACAACATGCCAATCCCTAACATGCTACCAAATACAACCTCCATGAGTTCAGGGGCTTTTGTCTGTTATGCTTACTACTGAGATAGAGAGGTAGAAATCATTTTCTTAGGAATTTATAAATAATCACATATTTTGACCTCAATGACGCTATGAGTAGATTTACATGAAAATTTTAACAATAATTTAGAAATACACACACACAAGCCAATCCTCATTATGTGCAGATTCTGCGTTTTCAAATTTGTCTACGTGACAAAATTTATCTGTAACCAAAGCCAATACTCTTGGCACTTACAAAGGCATTTGCAGAGGGGCAAAATATTTGAGTTGGCTGACAGCAGGTTCCTGACATCGAACAAGACAACACTCTGCGTTGTTGTTTCAGTTTTCATACTGTAAACATGTGTCTGATTCAGGATCTATTTAGTACCACATTTTTTACATTTCTGTACTTATTGTTGGTGATTTTGCTGTTTTAAATGGCCTCCAACATGGTGTGGAAGTGCTATCTTATCTAAGCACAAGAAGACTATGACGGGCCTTACAGAGAAAATATTTGTTAGTTAAGCTTCATTCAAGCGTGACTTATAGTCCTATTGACTGTGAGTTAAATGCTAATGAATCAACAAACAGTATATCCAGAAAAAGGAAGAGGAAATTTGCTGATTTGTACACAAGACCATTCCAGAAACTGCTGAAGTAACGTTTATAGCATATAATGAAGCTATGGAACAGTTGGAAAAAAATGGCTAAATTTGTGAATTCATGAGATGACAACTGATTAGGAAAAAACCATAGTGGACAGCACTATTGTAAGGCTCAAAGTCAAAGAAAATTACAATAATGTTACCCAGGGTCAGGAAAATGTTAAATCCTTCTCAGCTAGTGCTGTCTGCCTCACACATTTCAAAAGGTGATATGGCGTGAAAAATGCTAAACTTGCAGGCAAGCAGCCTGTTCAGTTCAGGAGGCAGCAAAAGAATGTTGAAAATATCTGCTAAGTGTTATACAGGAAAAGGGTCATAGGGAAGAGCAGGATTTTAATGCAATTGTGACTGGTTTATTTTACATAGACTTGGGCAAAGGAACCTGTATAACACAAATGACCTCCAAAGCCACCGGCTCTAAATCATTCAAAGACTGTTCAATCAATTATTTGTAAGAAATATATATACATATATATATATAAAACATAAGGTGCTTTAAACAGAATAACACATAAAACAAGGTTATGCATTGATTGGCTGATGAAAATATGATCAGAGACTCACAGGCATCAAACCTTCTATTTCTCCTAAGGGCAGTGGTTTCATATTTGCTAATTAAATGCTCATGACAGCTTTATAGAACCGAACTACCATGGATAATGTAATAATTGACACTGTGTGTTTGTGGGTGTGGATTTGTGTCTGACACTAGACCATTACCAATACAGTTGGATAGTCAAACTAAATAAATAATTTTATGACAACTTATTGTCAAAGGAAAAACAGAAAACACATCTGTGTGGTTCTTACTTTGATAAGTAATTCTTCTGTGCTGCCCATTATTTACACCTTTCCAGACATCAGGGTCAGCTCTCCTTTTGTGTGCTCCTTTACTTCTGTGGTGAAGGCTCAGGACTAAGTGGGCAGGCCTGCCCCTTGCAGTGTGTTGACACAGCTACTCAAAGGGACATTATGAAACTGACTTAGTATACCTTCTATATGTTCTAACTTCATCTGTAAAGGGCAGTGACTTTTCTGCTACTGTAGTTCTTTTAGCACCCTTTGCCCTGGACACTCAACATAACATAGAAATTCCATTTTCACTGTGGAAATAAAGAGCAACTTCTAAACAAGAACAGAGGATTTTTTCAGAGTTTGATATAGCAAGAGAGTCAGCTACTATTATTTTTGTGCTCGAGTCAAATAATTACACCCCAAAGATGTCCATGTCCTAATCCCCGGAACCTGTGAGTATGCTATCTTACATATCTATACGAGATATCTTATGCATCTATGTTACGGAAAAAGGGACTTTCCTAGATGTGATTCACTTTTAAGGATCTTGAGATGAGGAATTACCCTGGATAATACAGGTAGGCCCATTGTAATCAGATGATCCTTATAAGAGAGTCAAGACAATCACAGTCAAAAGAGACAGGAAAACAGAAGCAGAGGTCAGAGTGATGCAGCCAAGTCTCAAGGAATGTGGACAGCCTAGAGAAGCTGGTAAAGACAAAGAATGGATCTCCTCTAGAGGCTCGAGAAGAAATGCTGCTCTGATAGGCCCTTGATTTTAGCCTTGTAAAATGCATTCAGACTTCCGATCTCCAGAACTGGAAGATAATAAATTTGTGTCACTTTAAGCTGCTAAATTTGTGGTAATTTGTTACAGTCACAATAGGGAACTAATACAACTTGCACTTGGCACAAATTCAAAGACAGGCAAGGAGTAGGAAAACTCTGTAGTGAGAAAAAGGAGGGCTTCAGGTATACAGATGCTCCTCAACTTACAATGACGTTATGTCCAGAGAAATTCATTGTAACTTGAAAGTCGGGCAAGGCAAAAATGCATTTAATATCCCAATAAACACTTTCTAAAGTCAAAAAATCAGAAAGTAGAACCATTGTAAGTCAGGGATCATTGCACTTTGACTCAAGGTTGTTGGCATGGGAAAGCTGGAGTTAGAGTGACTCAAAGTGAGGCATCTCACGCGATTGGTTAGAAATCGTATATTTTGTCCTCTACTTGGTGCTGAGTCAGAAATCAGTAAACTAGGGAAGCTGGCAGTCACTGATGACGTCCTTTTTGTTGTGGACCAGCTGTTGTAGAGAGTGTGATTTGGCTTTCTGGACTGCTGGCTGCAGAAATTGTTGGGCAATGCTCTATTGTCATATTTGATTATGAATAAAAGTGTCCTCCAGAACCTCAACAAATAGCCTATCTGGTGTACATTTTATGATACAATTCCATTGTCTCTGATGAGAAGTAAACACCAATTATTTTTCCACTGAAGGTAATATCTTCTTTTCTCTCTGAATCTCATATTTCTTTTCTACTTTCTCTTTCATCTTTAGAAGTCTGACAGTGATGTCACCAAGTATGATTTATTTTTCTTCAGATTCACTGAATTTCTTGAATATGTGGATTGATATGTTCCAAAACTTTTGGAAAGTTTTCAGCCATTATGTGATCTATTAATTCAGTTATCATTTATCTTAACTTCTGGAACTTCAGTTACATATATGTTAGATCCTCTGACATTGTCCCATAGTCTCTGGTGCTTTCTTTTATTTTTTCCCATTCTTTTTCCTTAAGTTCTTGTAAACAGATTTATCAGAAAAAAAAAATCAAATAGACAATTAACATACTATGAAAAAGTGTTCAACCTCAGTAAACATCAGAGAAATGCATATTAAAAGCAAAATTAGATTCCACTATACATCCAAAAGAATTTCTGAAATTTAAAAAGACAAAAAATACTAAATATTGCTGTTGACATATAATAGCCAAAATATCTTGATCCTACATAATGCTCAGACTTCTCTTTGTGAACTAGATCCACTCTCATATTAATCCAGGAATTGAAATACTATTATATAATCAATGTATTTTTCTTTTTACAGGATTATACTAATCAGAATACTAATCAAAAATAAAATTCTTTTCTTAACCCTAAATTCCTCTCTAGTAACTGCCTCCCTTCTACAGTTACATTTACGTTAGTGACTTCTTTCAACACCATGGGTCTAAATACATCTACATCTTAATGACTTGTAAACATATTTTTAATTCTAATCTGTCTCTTAAACTCCATATTAATACATCTATCTCCATTTCCACTTGAATATTTTGTAGGTATCTCAAACTTGAACTCTTGAATATCTCCCCACCCCTGAAAAAAACTATTTCAGTTAGTAAATGGCAATTCCATCTATCCAATTGCTTAGTCCAAACACCTTGGAATTATCTCTGACTTCTCTTTTACACTTCACAGGTACTCTTTCCCTCAAAATGCAAGTTTTACCTTAAAAAATGTCTAAAATAAGATCTTTTATTATCATCTTCACCACTTCTATCCCTTTTAAGTCATAACCACTGACCTCATTCATTTTAGACCTTGCCCTCCAACCAACACAGCAGCCAGAATGATCTTTCTAAAACTCAAGTAAGTTTCTATCATTCCTTTGCTAAAAGTCTCCAGTTACGCCTCATTTTTTTCAGAATAAATGCCAAAGTTCTTAAAATTTCCATAAGCATCTAATGATCTGGTTTCTACCTCTCTGACTTCATCTCCTATTACTCTCCTTTAATTATTTAATGATTGTTAAGAATTGTGTCATATAAACCAAAACCTCAGAAAATATATTATCCTGAAGTAATATCAGACAAGACAAAAAAATCATTCCAGTAATAAGTAGTTAAGAATTTTGATTAAATCATTTTTTAAAATGAGAAGGTAATTGTATCATTACTGGCCTATATTTAATATCAATGGTAAGGATTAAAATGTTATAAAAGTAATTGGCTCCTTATGAGTTACTATATATCTCTAAACATCTCCAAGACACAAAATCAGGTCTGAGGTTGAAGTCTTGCATCTTTAAATTAACAGCGAAATCTCTTTTTGCAATATTTTGAAGTCCTTAATTTTATGTTCTTTTATAATGATTATAAATAATGTTCACAAGTAATCAATATTGTGTTTTCTGATATTTGTGAGCAGAATAGATAAATGAAATGATTTCTCCTCTAAGATAAGAGCCTTTTAGTAATAGTATTTTTAGTTGATTTAATTCTCTTAAATCAACTTGTGCAAAATCAATGCTATCTCTCCCTTATATGAGATGTTAACGACAGACTGTTGAGCACATTACAGTTGACCCTTGAGCAGTAAGGGCTTGAAATGTGAGTCCACTTATATGTAGATGTTATTCCTTGTCTGCCACCGCTGAGATAGCAAGACCAATGCCTTCTCATCCTCCTCCTCTTTAGACTACTCAATATGAAGACAATGAGAATTGAAGACCTTTATGATGATCCAGCTCCACTTGATAAGTAGTAAATATATTTTCTCTTTTTTATAATTTTCTTAACATTTTCTTTTATTTAGTTTTCTTGTAAGATTTCAATATATGGGCCAGGCACGGTGGCTCATGCCTGTAATCCCAACACTTTGGGAGGCCAAGAAGGGCGGATCACCTAAGGTTGGCAGTTGAAGACCAGCCTGACCAACATGGAGAAACCCCGTCTCTCCTGAAAATACAAATTACCCGGGTGTGGTGACACATGCCTGTAATCCCAGCTACTCAGGAGGCTGAATCAGGAGAATTGCTTGAACCTGGGAGGCAGAGGTTGCAGTGAGCCGAGACCGCACCATTGCACTCAAGCCTGGGCAACAAGAACAAAACTCCATCTCAAAAAAAAAAAAAAAAAATGCAATATATCTTACATGTAAATATACAAAACATGGGTTAAGTGACTGTTTATGTTTTCAGTAAGGCTTTTGGTCAACAGTAGGCTACCAGCAGTTACATTTTTGGAAAGTCAAAAGTTATATTCAGATTTGCAACTATGTTGGGGGGTCAGTGCCCTTAACCTCCACATTGTTCAAGGGTCAACTGTATTTAAAATAGTAAAAAAGATATAATTATAAGATCTGAATATTGAACTTGAGTACATTCTTTTATTTCTTCAATCATTTAACAACTGAGCAACTACCACAAGTCAGACACCACAATGCACATACAGCAGTCTGCAGAACAGTCATGGAAACGCTCCTCACAGGCTGACAGCCTAGAATGTTCTCACTTTTTTGTAACATTCCCGTCGCTGAGTTCTCTAAAAATATCTGAAACGTCAAATATTTTAAACCTAAAATATATACAATTTTTACTTGTCAGTTATACCTCAAAAAAGCTAGAAAAATCTGTAACATATAAATTTTATGCTAAGTGAAATTTAGTTAAGAAAGACATACTATATCTTATCCATCTAAGTGCTCCTTGATTAGCATACTAATTAGTATGTGTTAGGCCCTCAATGAATATAAGTTGAGAAATTATATTTAAGGGAAGATATCTTGTTTATTTGTTTTGTATCTCAACCAGCTAGCTTTTATTATATCATTTTACCATGCTTTATAAGTATTATAAATGTTAATAAAGAGAAAAAAGAAATGACATTTCTTCAGCACTTGCATTGAGCCAGTCACCATGCAAAAATTTCATGCCCATTGTGCCTTTTAATCATCCCAATATCACTATAAAATAGCAACTATTATTTCCATTCTACAGATGAGAAACTTATGGCAGGTAGTAACCTAGATTTTCTGGCTCTAAAACTTGTATTTTTAAGCCACCTAAGTCTCACTCACAGTGTTCATTAAGTGCACACTCTGGCCAAGAAACATATTGCTCTCCTTCCTTCACACTAGTCTCCTCATCTAGTTCGATTTCAAATTCCACTTGCCAAGTTCAGCCAGGTATGCCTATTACCTGGCTTAATTTTACTAGTGTCCCCTTTTACTCTCAACGGTGTCTGCCTGTGGATGATGTGTCATGTGATCACCATACCTCTTATTTCATCCTGGTTGTCAGTCCCCATTATGTTTTATCCAGGTGGAGTAACTTCTTCATAGATTGTCATGAAGATCTCTTCCTCTCTTCAAGTCACTTTACCTTTTCTCCGAGAACATCTTGGCTAAAGTTTTCATAGAGATTTATTTGGCTAACAACAGCATGATGGCATTTTCCTTACTTTACAATCTTTCAGTGATTTTGCTGCTGCAGCAAATTACCACAAACTTAGTGACTCAAAATTACACAAATATATTACCATACAGGTCTATGGATCAGAAGTCTGGTATATATCTCACTTTGCTAAGATCACAGTTTTGGCAGTTCATTAATTTCTGGAGGCTCTAGGCAAAAATCTATGTTCTTGCTTTTTCTACCTTTTAGAGGCCATCTTCTTTCCTCAGCTCATGGCCCCTTCCTCCACCTTCAAGCAGGCAATATCAGGCTAAATTATCACACTGCTCTCTTTCTGATACTCTCTTCCTATTCCCTCTTTTACTTTTAGGTACCCTTGTGATTACACTGAGCCTATCTAGATAATCTCATTATTTTAAGTCAACTGATTTGCAACTTTAATTCTATCTGGAGCTTTAATTTCCCTTGACCATAACCTAATGTATTCATGGATTTCAAGAATTATGACATAAACTTCATTGGGGAATCATTATTCTCCCTAAGACAGTAGTTGATTTTCAAATTTCACTCTTAACTTCCTAACTACCAAGACAACAGAATAAAAGGAAATTTCAAAAACAGGTAGCAAGATAAACTCTATAAAATCAACATATGAGTTCAGTCCCAAAGGACAAGTAAAGTTTTTCTTAGCAATATTTGTAGAAAAAATTCATCAGAAAGGTCTTTAATATAAGACAGTGAATATTATAGTGAACCATGGCATCACATCACTGTTTTGTTTCTAAAAATGGAAAATCATATTTTATATGCCTTTTTTGCTAAGGTACCTTGCAAAATCATATTGAGCAATATTAAAACATTTTTTCTTGCTTAAAAAAAATTTCTTCATGCTAAGTCCTTGCCCTGCAAAGAAAATACTTGTTGAATTGATTAAACCTCTAGTGATACACATCTTGAAACAATCAATGGAAAATATCATTAATAAAAATCAGCTACAGAAAATTTAAACAGATCTATTAATTCTTTCTTTCTGTTTTATATTCTAAACGAGTGGACAACTAACTCACTTTGATTTAAGAACAGCTCATATCCTGCTTGATCTGAGAATAGAATTCACAAAATAAGAACAGATGCAAATTCTATTTCCAAAATACTACATAATACAAAGACTTCATGAAAATGATGTAATTTACCGATTAGGGGCTACAAATACTATGCAAAACAAAATTCTCTTAAAATTGTAAGATTTATTTCCTTTATTTGTGCTATTTTTTATTAGTGTGAGCTACCAAATAAAACAAAGTAAACAAGCCATATAAAAAGAGTTAGATGAACATGAAAACTGGAAATCGAGTAGCCGACAGGGAATGTAAATAACAAAGAGGAATTAACAAAATAAAGTTTATTATGTACTTGGATCAATCAAATTACAAATGACAAATTTCTTCTGCCATGTATCTTGTCACTCTTCTGAGAGATTTTGTCTACAGGGTTTTTTGTTTCTGGTTTTTTTTTTCAAAACAAAACAATATTTTTTAAAAATAAAACTTTTTGTTTTAAATTTTAAAAAGGTAGCCAAACATTCAAAAAATTTTAAATTTTTGTTTGATTTTAAAGTCAAAACAACCAATGTTGAGAAGTACTTATTTTAAACCTAGCTTTGGAAGGTAAAGGTGTTACCAGAAATTAGCAGTTTTATAAAACATATCATCTACTTTTATAGAAAATATTTCAAGTAAAATGCTTGTACTCCTGATTTCCAATCCAGCATGTAAGGAGTTTGGAAGTCATTCTGTGAAGAAGCTAACGCTGAATAAAAAGAAAAATCAACAACTCTTCTTAGATCCCTCACAAAGGATACAATTTTGTTCCTGATTCCAGGACAAACCACTATTCTCAACATTAGAGACAGACATAGAACACATCTATCTCTCTCAATATAGAGAATTACAATTTACCAAAGTAGAAATCTAGGAGTGGAAATCACTTTGGAAAGCAGTGCTGGACTTCTTTTTTCAATACCTCATGTCCAGTTATGAGAAAAAAAAATAAAGACATTCCAAAAGGCAAAAAATAAAATTTTAAGAGACAAAACAAGTGTCAGAATCAGACTCAGATATGCAGGATGTTGTATTATCGGTCCAGGAATTTAAAGATATTACTGTCAATATGCTAAGAGTGCTCATGGATAACGCAGACAGTATGCAAGCACACACTGGCAAAGTGAGCAGAGTAATGGAAATTTTAAAATAAGAACCAAAAAGAAATTCTAGAGATCAAAAATACTGTAACGGACATGAAAAATGTTGTGATAGGCTTATTAGCAGACTGGACACATTGAGGAAAGAATCTCTGAACCTAAGAATATCTCAAAGGGAACAACTAAAGCTGAAAAGCAAACAGGAAAAAGACTGAAAAACACAAAACAGACTAACAACCATGGAACAATGTGATACAAACAATTAGTGGCACCCCAAAACAATTTCAATAGTAACATGTAAGATTGCACATTGCAGATCACAATATAGGATATAATAATAATAATAAAGTTTGAAATCTTGCAAGGATTACCAACATGTCACACAGAGACAGGAAGTGAACCCATGCTGTTGTAAAATGGTCTCAAGAGACTTGATGGATGTAAGATTGCCTCAAACTTTCAATTTATAAAAAATGCAATATCCTCAGAGTGCAATAAAGCTAAGCACAATAAAACAAGATATCCCTGCATTTCATTAACAAAACTGTGTTCATGAAACATGTGTCTGTTGAGTTACATTCAAACTGCCCATCATGAATACAGCATTTTTTTTTTCTTTCTTTTTTGCAAGGGGGTGAGTCTATTTCTGATGAGTGTCAAGGAGAGGGAGGTGGAATATACTCTCTGAGGTCACAGGAATTCATTAACTATAGCTGACAATGCTATAGTAAAGAAAAAATATATACTTCTAAGTCTATATCCACATTAAATTCACAAAGTAGTTGTTTACTCCCAAAAGAATCCGAAATAAATACCAAGGGAATATGATTCTAAAGAGTGAAAAACATTTTTCAGTGATTGTGGTCCTTTGCATCATATGGGTGCCAGAATATAAATTGGGTAAACTCATTCCTTGGGGAACGAGCAGAAGTCAAACCATGTGGCCAGGCCAAGCAGGATGGATTTAGTTAGGAATACTGCAGCATAATATTCACATAAACTCATAAAATTTTATTTTGCTCAGTTACGCAATAGTTATTTTCAGAGCTCACTCACCAGTGGGGAAGAGTTCCCAAAAGGCTACCAGAACTTGTCTCATTAATTCAATCACAAAGTGGAGCTGGGACTGTATGTGTTTTGTGACTTGTGTTGACACTGAGCTGGGCTAAAACAGGCAGAGCTAGTATTGACTGAAAAAAAAAAATCCCCCAAATATCTGACCTTATTTAAAAATGCAGCAGTACTTCCACACAGCTTTATGTGGCTCGCAGATAGTCTTTGAGTACAGGAATAATCTAAATATATTTTATTAAGTGTCAACTGCTCAGTAATGCTTACTATAAAAACTATTCAAAATTACAGTTCTGATGCCCCATACCCTGGTTTGCTTCATTAACTTACTATTGCATTATATACTTTTTACTTGTTCATCATACTTTTTATTATATTTTTTTCTCTACTGGAATTGTGACATTTTATATTTGTTTCATTCATTAGTGTATCTTAAGTGTTCAAAATGGCACCTGACACATAAATGATTTTCAATGTGTTAAAAGAATAAAAATTTTGAATTTTCAAGAATTTCTCTTGGGCTTTCTCTTCAAAGAGGAGCTCCACAGTGAAAAGCATTCTGGAGATGTATGAAGTCCATGCTGACATTTTCCCCAGCACATTCTGACCTCTGTGCTCTCATCACATAAGGAAACTCTAAGGTCAATAGCTGTTCACATTTTGGCACTGAGAAACATGAAAGCTGAAAGAAGCATGGCATCTTGGAAAAGAGATAAGCGTGGAAGTACAAAAAACAAGCTTCACCACCTCATAATTGTGTAAATTTAGGCAAGTTTTGTAACGTGTCTTAGTCTTGATTTTCTCAAAACGGGGATATTAGTTACTCGGTAGATTTGCTGTGATAATTAAATGAAATTATACACATTAAGCATTTATTGAGGTGCTAGGCACATTCAGAAAATGATTATTTTCTTGACCTCAAATTCAAATCCACAAGAAATGAATTCCTGTCATTCTTCTACCACCAATAAGTCCTAGTTTGGAATTCCAATGCTCAAGACTGAAGCCCTGGCTTTGTAACTGGGTGCCAGCCCCTAGCTCCCGGCTCCAGACTATCTACTACCCTGAGCCTCTTCCTGTTACCAACTACAAGGCTTTGAAATAATTAGTTGTCATCCTTCTGCTTAGATAGACATTCTGCTCATTTCTAGGACTGTTTGAGAAATTCTAGCCTTTGCTTCTTGGGTCTCGTGTCCTTTCCCTTTCTTGGGATTCAGAAATCAATTGCCCAAAATGAAGGCCTCAGTATCAGAAACAAAACTTTTTCTCTGACTTTTTGCTGTTGCTTTCAGTCTCATTTTCCACCAAGGGAAATCTTAAAAACTGGAATCTCTTTTTCCTAAGGTGGGTCATAAAAACAAGAACCCCTTTTCCCCAAAGCCAGCCATAAATCCTAAAATTTTTACTCTGGCTTTTCTTCTGTCTGTATAAAAACCAACCATTAAAAAAATTATCTGACTTACCTTGTTTGACTGTAGGTCATGAGCCTCCCATACCAAAGAGGGTCCTTCCCCATATACCCAGAAGGAAGAAATACAAGCTCAGAGAGACCAAGAAGAATATGGACAGACAAGACTTGAGTTTCCCCGCTCAGTCCATTAATGTTAGATCATACTTTTTTGGTCTAATCATGTTTTTGCACAGCTATTCATACTTTGTTGAGCCTAAGTGTAAAAATGGACACTTTGCCCTGTATCTTTGGGTCTTTATTCTGAAGGCTCTGGAGTACATGTTAATAACTTTTGAATGCCTTTTCTCCAATTAATATACCTTGGCTAAATAAATAACTATAATTTCACAATGATCTGCGATCCTATTTCGAGTTTTTTAAACTTTTGATATTTGACAGACTTTTCAAAATCAAAATTTCAAATTCTACATTTATGTTCTTTTAACTTCACACTAACTTTTCAGATATTAGAGCTCCTGGAAGTCCAAGAGGGACATATCAGGCATGTTTGGTATGTTAAAATCATGTGGGGAACATTGTCAAATAAGATATAGTGTTTAACTTTCTGTTGTTTATATTTACATAAATGTGTTGTTAACTTATGTTCCAAAATTATATGAGATTTCTAAAATTCTGATAAGTCTTGGTATATGTTATCAGTAATAATTATGATTATCAAGTTAACATTATTATATACCACAAAAATAACTAAATTTTCTTGTCAATTGTCTTTCCCCTTGACTATTCTAGGATTTTTGTCATCCACAAACAATCATTGCTTTATTTTTTAATTCTTCCCCAAAAGTGGTTTATAATTACCAACAGTCCAAAATTTACTTCTTCTTTTTAAAAACGCCCATGTAAAGGACTCTCTGACAGGTACTCTGGACAGGTTTCTAGTAACTTTGGAGATCATACCATTAGACTAGGTAAAAACTTCCAGGACTTCAATTAAAATCTGATGCATTCATGAGGAATACTAATCCAACATCAAACACAACAAAAGGTAATTACATGCGACTAAACTGATAAAAGACTAAAATAGTTTTTATATTTTTTTTATTTAAAATATTGCTGATTCTTTTTATTTATTTATTTATTTTTTCTTTTTTGAGATGGAGTCTTGCTTTGTCACCAGGCTGGAGTGCAGTGGCACGATCTCGGCTCGCTGCAACTTCCACCTCCCAGGTTCAGGTGATTCTTCTGCCTCAGCCTGCCTCCCGAGTAGCTGTGACTACAGGCATGTGCTACCACACCAGGCTAATTTTTGTGGTGTTAGTAGAAATGGGGTTTCATCATGTTGATCAGGATAATCTCAATCTCTTGACCTCGTGATCCACTTGCTTTGGCCTGCCAAAGTGCTGGGATTACAGGCGTGAGTCAATGTGCTTGGCCTTTTATTTTTTTATACTCAATAATTGTTTTTTTTCTTTTGAGCAATTTATAGCTGACAACAATTTGGTACAATATACCTTTGTAAAAAACCTGATTTTCTTTGTCTATCTGATTTTTCCAGAGTTTAGAAATAATTTGTGAGTATTCTTAATTTATTATGATATAATTATTTATGTAAGTTCAATACAAATCTATTTTCTTATGTAACAGGACACGATGAAGGACATCAGTTATTTAATGAAGGATTTGACAGGAACAGAATATATTCCAATAAGACTGAACTGCTTTGAGGAATCCAGGTTGACTTTCTAGAGTAAGTAAAAAGCCTCTTTAAAAGGCTGGGTTGGCACCTTGTCCACACAGTTCCTTTACAAGGTTCCTGATCTGTGATAAGTTTAAAAAAAAAAGAAAAAAAAAAAAAAAGTCACTTTCTGATAGGCCCAGAAAACGAGTTATTTGGGGATCCACTCCCCCAAAAATAGAAATTTATCCAGGTATTACAGACAGCCTGATGATAAATGCTTGGCTTGGCTTCAGAGCCTTAAGAGACTTTTAAAAGTCTAATCTGAGATTCCTTGTAAAATTTTTCCAACAAAGCCAATTTAAAAAGAATCTAGATGGCCAATCACTATTCATACTACATTTTATACAAATAATCAGGCTGGCTGGGCACGGTGGCTCAAGCCTATAATCCCAGCACTTTGGGAGGCCGAGACGGGCGGATCACGAGGTCAGGAGACCGAGACCATCCTGGCTAACACGGTGAAACCCCGTCTCTACTAAAAAGTACAAAAAACTAGCGGGGCGAGGTGGCGGGCGTCTGTAGTCCCAGCTACTCGGGAGGCTGAGGCAGGAGAATGGCGTGAACCCGGGAGGCGGAGCTTGCAGTGAGCTGAGATCCGGCCACTGCACTCCAGCCTGGGCCACAGAGCGAGACTCAGTCTCAAAAAAATAAATAAATAAATAAATAAAAAATAATCAGGCTAAGTGTAATAAAACTGTAACTTATTTTACAAATAAACTGGTCCTGCTATGATTTGTCTTTAGTAAAAATTGGGGACTAGAAAAAAATTGTTTAAAATAAACTAAAACATACCTGTTATTAGATTCTAGCCTTAATCATTGTTTTTGAGTTTTTATTATTTTGCTACAATTCAGATTAAATCCTAAATTCCTTCCTGGCTGTAAGTCTCCCAACTAATGTTTCCAAATGTTTTCTACTTTCTGACTTAAAATTACTAAAATTAATACTGCGTTTTCCTAAAGCCCTATAAGCTAAGAGTAGACAACTTGATAAAAACTTTTTTAAAAAAATCATTATAACACTTAATAGACAAACAGCCTTTGAACTTGACAATGTGTAGACTACTCAAAAGTTCCCTTGAACACCTGATACAAACTACAAACAGAAAAAAAATTGTCGGATTGTTACTATCTGCTCTCACTTTGTCTAAAGATGCTTCAAGCCTAACATCTAAAAATCTTAGCAATGGGCTGCCTCTTAGAGTCAAAACCTAAGTTTATAGTTTTTTTTTAACCGTTAACTTTTGTTTTTATGCTGTTTCCATAAAAATGTCTCTTATTCAATATCTGATTGCAAAAATCATAAAGAAACCCAACTTTGGTAAAAGCCCATCTACACCACCACTGCCTGAAATAAGATGCTAGCATTAACTGTTTCACTTGCTGCCCTGTTCTCAAGACTGAGAGACTGCTTCAATTAAACAGCTCATACAACAATCCACCAACCCAAGTCCTGGCCTGTGAAACTTCTCTGGGAAGTTTTAGACCAGAGAATGTTGGAAAACAGAAAACAACATTCAAAAATGGCCTCAGAAACAGCCTCAGGGAAAAAAAAAAAAAAAAAAAGATGTTTTCTCTGACCTTCTCCCACCTTCCTGCCTCCTGTTTTTCAGCCCCATTCTCCCCCAAGGCTGGTCTTACAAACTTGAATCCCTCTTCCACAAGCCAGGACATACAAATCAGAACCTCTTTTCCTCAAAGTCAGCCATAAAACCTAAAAATTTGACTCCAGCTTTTCTTCTGTCTTTTTGTATAAAAACTGGCAATAAAAAATGATCTGACCCCCTTTCCAGAGAGGGTCCTGTCCCACATCCGGAAGGAAGAAATACATGCTCTGAAAAACCAAGACAAATCTAGACCCAGAGGCCTTGCTAGATTGCTCCACTCAGTCTGTTAACGTTAGATAATACCCTATTTTTCCAAACATACTTCTATGCAGCTATCCACACTTTCTTGAACCTAAGCATAAAAATGGACAATTTTTTCTATATCTTTGGGTCTTCAATCCAAAAGATCCTGTTTAAATGTTAATACATTTTGAATGCTTTTTCTCCAGTTCATCTGACATTTATGAGTTCATTTTTCAGTAAACCTTCAGAAGGACAAAGTGAAAATTTTCCCTTGACCCCTGCACCCTCAAAGCTCATTCCTTAAACCATGAACTCTTGGCTTTGCCCCATGTTTCCACACAAGATACTTATTTAATAGAGAAACAACACTTCACTTTCTTCCAGCCCCGCAGATCATCCTGCACTCCTTAGCCCCGCCAGTCTTCGTCCCACTTAAACTTGGGGCCTAAAAGGAGCTTCACTTCAGCAAAATGTTTAATACATTTTGAAAGAAAAATATGATTTTGATTTAAGAAATACATAGATGGTAACTTTTGAGATAGACATTTTAAAATATTCAATTTAGAGGAAAACAGAGCAAAGAATCACAAAGAGCTGTTTTAGTGGAAGTTGAAGATAAGGGAATCATCTCCATGGACCCAGGCCAGATATAGCTCTCAAGGATTTCTCAAAACCATTTACCCCTCACTTTTCATTACTACCTGTACAGCCTCAGTTTAGGCTCTAGTTATCTTTGGCAGACACTACAATCATTGATTCATAATTGGGCTCACTGTGATCAGTCATAGTCTCTAGTTCATTTTCCATAAAGAAATTAATACTTAAAATGCTAACCTGCCCATCTGAATGGATATACCCTTAATTACACCACAAGGTACAAAGTAAAAAATATAAATCAGTACTACTCAAAGTGCTAGTCCAAAATTGTTTGATATAAATCAATGATTACTAAAGCACAGAAATTGAGAGTAAGCATTTGGAATCCTTTCTAGCAATTTGAAATTGCCTTGATATCAAAGTATGTAATTTCATATTTTATAAACATATCTATCCACATCATATTTGAAATTAAAGGATAATAATAAAGTATAATTGTCCCCTCACCATACATAGTTGAGAAGTCTTATTCTAACCATCTTAGCATGACATACAAAGTCAGTATCTGCCACGTATCAGTCTCTGCAACTGTGCCTTCTGCCTTCTCCAAGTTAGAATTTTATCCAGTAATTTCAACTCACTTGTTCACTACACCTATCAGTAAACCATAGCAAGGGGCTATATAGTATGGTGGTTAAGGATATGGACTCTGGAGTCAGATAGCAGGGTTCCAAATCTGTCCTCTATCATTTACTGGCCATGTGACCTTAGGTAATTCACTTAAACATTCTGTGCTTCAGTTTCTCCATACCTAAAACTGGGATAGTAATAACTGCCTCATATGTTTGTGGGAGACATGAAATGATTTCATGAATCACTTAAACTGGTGCCTAGAATAAATGTTAAGATCATTGTCGTTTTTATTATTTTAGTTTCCATGCCTTGATAGTATGTTTTCTCTGTCTTACTTACTTGCCTTCCTCTAACTTTGCATCTGGCTACTAAGCAGCTTTAAAGACAAATTAGACTTCATCTTCTCCTGGAGGCCTTCCTTGATTTTCCCAGACTGATTTATGTGTTCACTTTGTGCTACCTCATCACGCTGAACTGATGCCTCTATCATGGCATCTATCACATGATATAAGGACCTCTTTATGTGTTTGTTCCTTCTACTTTGTTTATTAAGTCTTGATGAATACTTAACACTTATAAAATACTTAATACATATTAACAGACCCCATAAACATACATATTTAACAGATCCCATTTTGATCCTCAGAAGGATCCGTGTTCACACCATCTTGTCATTTCGACTGAGCATTGCTTCCTGGAAGAAAATCTGGATGGGAAGAGAGCTTTAGTGCCCAGAGTAAGATAAATGGGGATTGGAGCCTCTTGAATTGCCCTCCCTGCGCTTAGCATTGTCCTTGAGGCTTGCAACAGTATATATACCAATCCCAAAGAAACTAGCCCAGGTAAAGGCTATGTACAGCATGACCTATGCCATAAAAATATGCCCCTTTCCTCATCGAATTCTATTATACTGTTAATAATACAAACAGTGATGAGAAAAGATTTACAGTTTTCATCATAATCTCTTTTCTACTTACTATACTTCTGACTACAAGCACGATTATTTGATGAAGCAAAGAAAGGCTCCAAATTTTAAATTGAACTAAAAATGAGTTGTGCATTGACAATGGTTATAGTATTCTTGAATTAATTACAATCAGAGGTGACAGTGTTTTCAGAAATCTCGTGTTGTCAATATAAAATAGCTAAAACCCCAATTATCAATGACCATGTGAAAAAAAAAAAAACTGGCACTCAAATACCATTAATAGCCATAATGAAATCTCAAATAATAGTGCTACTGTAAGCCTCTTCATAATCTTTATTAAACAGAGCCTAAAAGGAAAACAAAGATTAATCTGGGCACAGGTTTCTCAGACAATGGCTAAAGAGCATGCAAATTACCTCAATAGGTGAAAAGCTATAAGGAAATCAGGCCTCTGAGGAAAAAATAAAATGCAAAGTACAATCAGGTGAATTGATAGGTACTTTTAGTTATCCAGCATAAAGGAGAAAAGCAGGGAAAAGTGAAAAATTTTAAATTGTAAACAATCTAAAATATTGTAGCAAATTATTTCAAGTTTTCTCATATGACTAATATACTTTTATAAGGCATGAAAAATATAATACTTACCTGTTTGAGCTTAAGCACTTTTTCATGGTCCTCTTCAGTGTATGAGTACGTACAGGAGCTGTAAGAACAAATGTGCAAAGAGAAAGGATGAAAGCTGGAGACTGACTGAGCCACTGAATACTGAAGCTTACAGGCACTTTCCTATCGAAATGCTCACAGATTCAAGGCCCCATGTACAAGGCAAAAAAAAGCACTAGAATTTTGATAATCACATCTAAAAGAGTATTAATACGATGCATGATTTTAGAAAACAGGCTTTTTAAATTGCTACTTTATTGAGCAATTTCCATAAAAGATTTCATTATGTTAATTTAAAGATACAAACAGCAAAAGCTGAAAGTAAAATAATTTTAACTT